AAATAAAAAAGATCAAAGGAAGATTTGGGACTAAATCTAGCTTTATCCAAATCCTGGATTATTCTCTCATCATCATGATGATGGTCATTATTGGGGTCTTCTTTATTGAGTATTGTTGTACAATAGTGATAGTAGACAGAGCATGTACTACTATAGTGTTATTAGAAATAAAGGATTCGTGAAAAGTTATAGCCCTTTCACAATTCTTTCAGTGATTCCTTTTGGCTTATTTATGTGAAGGGGATATTTCTGATCTGGTTGAATTTATTCGGATTGACTTATATGGAAAGAAATATAACTTTCTGAGATCTGAGAATGGTGGATACTGCTTCATACAAATTCACGAATGTAGTAAAGTGAAAAAAGAGTTCCTTTAAGGGGAATCAATGTATAATAAATATAACAACATACTGACTAAATTCATATTATAATCTCTTATCTTGGATCTAATTCATTATTTTATAATTTCACACTGATGAAAAGCTCTTCTCATTTCCCAGGGAAAGAACTAAAATCGCATTTGTTTTATGCTGTATAATTATACCACATGCAATGTTCAAAAATACATTACATGTAAGAATTCTTAAGGGAAGTAAAATAAGATAATCATTAAGTGTAATAGTGAAAGTTTTTTTAATATCTTCAGGAATAATAGAAAAAATAAAAAATATTTAAAATGAGTCAGTATCATAATTTAAATTGTTATCAGCATTATAATGAGCATTTAATTATTTCTTAGAAAAGAAGATAAATATTTATTTTTCATTGACTATAACAATGTTTTTCAACTCTAATACTGTTCTAAAAACTAAGAATGAGTTAGGATCTCTTGTTTGCTTTAACAAAAAATGTATATGTGGGCTTCATTCTCACTAACCTTCAAAGAGGTTTTTGTTTTTTTGTAGTTCATAGTATTATAACTTGAAACAAAGCAGTCAAGGCTATAGAACATTTTCTTTTTTCAATTTATGTCTTAACTTTCAATGATCTGTTTACTTTTACAATACTTCATGGATGGAAGTAAACTTGTAGATTTGTTTAAACATAAAAATGAAAATATTGTGTGCCCATAAAAGATAGTCTGAAATGTTTCAAAGATATATGTTACTGTGATCTTTAAAGCATGTTTGTTTTCCTATCATTGGTTATTAAATACTTAGACTTCCAAAGACTTTTTGATTTTTTTAACTTCCCTTTTTTAGCATACTGGTTGTCATATTAATTAATAATTTCAGGGTAATTTTGAACATATATTTATTTTATATTTGCATGATAACTGTAATGATTTGACCTTTTAGGAATTTATAGCTGGTTTGCTTTGGTATTTACCCATTATCGATTCCTTGTTTTCAATGACAACTTCATAAATGTATCAAATAGCCTATTTGTTTTGCTTATTTTGATCAATGGATCACCTACATTCTTTCTTAATAATTTAAGGAAATAAAGAAAAGTATCTCCTTTCCTCATTTTGTATCAGAATTGCGACAAGTCAAGTCTTTTGTGATTCCAAATAAATTTCAATACCATTTGATGGATTCCCAGAACAATGTCATTTGAGTTTTGATAGGTAGTTCATTGACTTAATACAATATCTTAAATAGAGATTAACAAAGTTTATTTAATCATTTCACTCCATGGACACGGAGTATCTTTCCACCTCCTGAGCCTTCTATTTATTTAAAAAATGATTTCTGGCACTGTAATCACCATCACGCTCAGAGCCTGACTCCACGAACTCAGGATGAGCCTCATCCAGAAGTGAATCTCTTGAAAAAACTCAGGTATTGGGGGGGGGGGTTGTGACTGAAATCTCCAGGTTCCCACAGAGCCTGGATAGGTTACCCTCTTCCATCTCCCTGTTCTTCCGGTAGCCTGGAAGTCACGCCCATGAACTGCCTCTGGCGCCATAAAAGCTCATTAACCAGCCATGGTCAGAGACTCATAAATACATCTCAAAAGAGATGAACAAGCTTAGAGATGCTTCCCACAGTCACTCCCAGTTAAAAATCTCACTCCAGCTGTATCACTTAATCACTTAATCACTTAATCCCCGTTATTCATCGATTTATTTGAGCGGGTGCCAGTAACGTCTCCATTCATCCCGGTTGCGTGCTAGTGTAGCCCAATGGTATCTGTTCTTTTTAGGAACATGTAGAGCCTCAAACCGATCATTTAGGGTCTTGACGAAGAAGTCTGACCATCTTATAGGTGGGCGTCCACGTGATCTTTTGATGTCTCGTGGAATCCAATCAGTAATGGCTCTAGTCCAGCGGTTGTCTGTAAACCTCATTACGTGTCCAGCCCATCTGATTTTTGATGTCTTGGCAAATGAGACAGCGTCCCTGATTCTTGAGCGTTGACGAAGATCAGAACTCCGGATTCTATCTCTCATTTGAGTGAATCGTGATATTCCAAGCATAGTTCTTTCGATTCCTCTTTGAGAGACCCGAATAGTATTCTCATCCTGTTTTCGTAGGGTCCAGGTCTCTGAGGCATATGTTAATGCAGGAAGAATAGTGGAATCAAAGAGATGTGCTCGTAGCTGGAGGTTCTTTGTCCTTTTAGTTATTTCTTCAATGCTCTTGAAGGCATTCCAAGCTGCTCTCTTCCTCCTGCGCAACTCAGGTGCCAGGTCATTCATCATGTTGATTTCTCGACCTAGGTATATATAACTGTTGCATTCGGAGATGGTGGTTCCGTTGAGAGCGAATGGAGCATCAGGAACAAGGCTGTTTCTCATAAACATTGTCTTCGTAAGATTCAGCTGTAGTCCGACCTTTCCACATTCACGGTCAAAGTCGTTCAGCATTTGTGCCGCTTGGTTGATGTTTGGTGTTATTAGAACGATGTCATCAGCAAAGCGGAGGTGGTGTAGTTGCCGACCATCTATCTTCACTCCCATGTTTTCCCATTCCAGTCGTCGCATGATGTTCTCGAGGGTGGCACTGAAGAGTTTTGGTGAAATGGTATCACCCTGCCGAACCCCTCTCTTGATATGGATGATAACTTCTTTGTAGAATGGTGAGATCTTGGTAGTGAATCCGCAATAGAGCTCACGAAGGATCCTGATGTATTGAGTTTGTACGCCCTGATTGGCTAGGGCTTCCATGACCGCTTCCGTCTCAACAGAATCAAAGGCCTTCTTTAAATCAATGAACGTTAGACAGAGTGGCATCTTGAACTCCCGAGATACCTCAAAGAGCTTGGTTATTGTGTGGATATGGTCGATGGTACTGAATCCTTTTCGGAATCCAGCTTGTTCACATGGTTGTCCTTCATCTAGTGTTCTGCTAATCCTATTCAGGATGACTCGAGTGAATAGTTTGTAGATGACAGACAATAGGCAGATTGGGCGATAGTTGCCAATGTCGTGGATGTCTCCTTTCTTGTATAGTAGTACAGTCTTGCTGGTTTTCCATTGGGATGGAACCTTGCATTCAGACAGGTAGTGTGTGAAGAGTCGACCAATGTATTGATGAGTACTGATGGTAAGTTCTTCAGGTGTTCAGGTCTGATCTTGTCTGGGCCAGGTGCTCTTTGTTTCTTTACCGACGAGATGGCATGTTGGATTTCGGAAGGGAGAACATTGGGAACGAAATATCCATCATGTAGTATGTGGTATGTGGGCAAGTTGATGTGGCTATTAAAGAGATCTGAGTAGAAGTCATGAATAATCTTCTCCATTGCCCTTCTGGAAGATGTGATAGATCCATCATGATGTCGGAGAGCAGTCATCTTGGTTTTGTAGTTGGTGAAGGACAGGCGGGCATTACGAATGTTTTTCCCAGCTTCTGCTGCATCTACCAGTACTGCTGCTCTCCTGTTTTTGAGGGCATCCTTGAAGGCTTCTCTGCACTGTTTTGCCAGTTCGGACGTTTGTTTGTGGTTGCCTGAGGCACGTGCCAAGCCACGTTGGCAAATAAGTTCAAGAGTGTTCGAAGAAAGACGGTTTTTTGTGGTTATCTCTCTCTTGGCATTCCTTGCACAATCATGGAGGTGCTGAATCATTCGATCGTATTCCTCATCAATGTTGTCAATGACGGCATCTTCCCATGTTGCCGCAACAGAGCCAAAGAGTTCCCAGTTGGTAGTTGTTCTGGGAGTCCTCTTCTTAAACCTTGCATTCTTTTCTCCTCGTTCTGTGAGGTAGAATTTTGCACGAAGAAGACGGTGGTCTGATCCCGTTTGGAATTTTGGGACAACAGCAACATCGGTTAGGCAAAACCGCCGATTGAATATGATGTGGTCTATTTCATTGTGGAACCGTCCAGCTGTATCACTCCATCAAAAATTTTAGAATTCCTGAAGTCTGGCCTTCTTGCCACAATCTACATCACTGATAAACCAGGAGTAGCACACCACATTGGATGGGATGTAGAACAGAAGGCAATCAATCTTGATTAAGAGAATATTAACACACAGGTCTCAACCTGTAACAACGTGTTAGTCATCTCTTATATAAGGGTTTAATGGCTCCAGGGTGAGATACAACAATCTTTACACGCATTCATCTAAGGAAACCTATTTTGATCATTTTTAGGTAATTATTCATAATAAATAATATAGGATCTATTATTGGGGAAGACTTGGGTGGTGGTTGGGAAAACCGAAAATAATGGTGGTAGGAAAGGACAACGGTGGTGGGACTGGTGTTAGAATATTGAATGTAATAAATCACCATGAACAACTTTATAAAAATAAAAATTGAGAAAAAAGGTGATTTCTGGGGCTGGAGCAATAGCACAGCAAGTAGGGCATTTGCCTTGCAAAATTGACCCAGGTTCATTTCCCAGATCCCATATGGTCCCCTGAGCACCGTCAGGAGTAATACCTGAGTGCATGAACCAGGAGTAACCCCTGTGCATCACCGGGTGTGACCCAAAAACCAAAAGAAAAAAAGAAAAAAAAGAAAAAAGATGATTTTTTTTATTGATTCCTCATACTTGATTCAATGTGATTAACATAATTAGATTTTATATTGACAGAATTTTTTTTTATGTCATATGGTTAATGTGCCAAGTGTGTAACAAGATTTAAGCAAGGCACATGTCACATAAGCATGTGAGTGTCTGATGATCATGGTGATGAACTGGAAAAAATCCTGCCTACAGAAAATTTTCTTTCTAAAATTTTTAAATATGGAAACGTAACATTTTCCCAGTAAATTTTGGTGTTTACCATTTACTGATTTGATTTATTGTTTTTAATAGGTTTTAGTAGATTGTTTATGCCCTTACTGTGTTCTATCATGAAACATGAAAATATTAATAGTTTTACGTCTTATTTTCCAAATACACTCCTTTTATTTCCTTCTCTTTCATAAAACTTTGGCTGGGACATGTATGCTATGTTGAATAAGGGTCACAGGTGCTCCTTATTATACATATTCTCAAATACAATTCTATGTCCAATATTATTGAGTGGGCCTAGTAACGTTTCTATTTTGAGACTTGTTCTTACTGTGTTTGGCATATTGAACATGTCATGAGGAGCTTGCCAGGCTTTGCCAAGTGGGCAAAATACTCTCAGTAGCTTGCCAGGCTTTCCGAGAGGGTCGGAGGTATTATTTGGGAATAATATTTATATTATAACCATTATACTATAACATTGTATCTAGTATTATTTGTGAATATAACTATAATAATAAGAATATAACTATTATTCCCAAATAATAGAATTGTAACATAGATTTGTAAAAATGTACTAGTATGCTAGTAAAAGTAAATGTTTTTTTCTTATTCCTGATGTTAGAGGAGAAGCTTTCTTCTTTATTCCATTGAGAAGATGCTAGTGGTAGGTTTGTCATGTGTAGAGTTTACTGATATACATTAGTTTTATCTCCAATTTTATGAGATTTTAAAAAATTATGTATAATCTTATCAACCTTTTTCTGCTTCTGCCCATACAATTTTTATAATTTTTATCTTTCTCTTCTTTTGATGTGCTATATTACATTTATTGATGTGTGTATGTTTGTATGTCATATCATTATTGGATCTGGTATGCATATTAGTCATTTTGAATTATTCCATTTTTAAATTTGGTTTAGCCACTACTTTTAACAAGATCAGGTTTGTTAGACTGTAGGGTTTTTTGGGGGGGAGTTATTTCATTGGTTTCTATTAGGATCAAAGTAATACTTTCCTCATATAAAGGAACAATATTTCCTTCTTAGAAAAATCCTGAGAAGGATAGGAAGCAGGTAACCTTTGAAGGTTTAGTGGAACATACTAGGAAAACAATTTAGTTCAGTGACTGGTGTGGGGGTGAAGGAAGAATTTGGATTTCTGTGCCATGTTCATTGCATATAATGAATTGTTTGTGTTTTCTATTTCTGCCTGATTTTAATGTTTGGGGAGTGTAAGAGTAAGAATCCGTCTACTGCTTCTAGGTTTTTCAAATGAATGTTGTAAAGTTGTTCATAGGTGTCACTATTTTCTCTGATTTTGAACTCTGCTCTAAGGGGGGGCAGAGAGACAATACAAGGCTTAAGATAATTCTCTTTCATGTGGTTGCCCCTGGTTCGATCCCAAGAACCTGATAGGGTCTCCTGTGGACCACCAGGAGCGGTGCTGTGTGTTCCAGGAGCAAGCCATGAGCAGGGTCCAACAGTGACCCTGAAGCAAAACAAAACAGAAACTCTACTCCACGGATACAAGTCAAAATAGAGTGGTATTGGCTCAAACTAGAAGCACGGGTATGAATAGAACTGAGAGGCCCAAATCAAAAATGTATGATATGGACTGCCATTGTACAACAAGAGACTGTGAGAAAAAGAGTGAAAATAAAGTCTCTCAGTAGCGGTGGAGAAACTGAGTAAGCACACAGGAAAGATTCAAATTAGGTCATTGTCTCAAACAAAGCACAGAAGTGATATAAAAATTTATTGAAGTTCTGGAATTCAGATCTAGAATCGTAAAATATATTGAAGAAAACATTGACAAGATGCACCACGACATATTTGAGGGTTTGACTGAAATAACTAGGCAAATAAAAGTAACAATTAACAAATAGGACTGGATAAAACTAAATGTATTTGCATAATTAAAGTAACTGTCCCTGGAACGAATGAAAGCCTACTTAAGTGTGTGTGCTTAAGTGTGTGTATGTATACATGTTTGCCGTATACGAATTCACAAAGTATTTATAATTGACGAAGTATACAGTTAAATAAATCATACCGCAAATTATTTTTCTTTTGCAATCATTTGCATAAGGTATTCCTATGAACAAAATAAAATGTACATTTATAGCTAAATTCTAAAGCTATATTGTAACTTTGTACATTATTTTCCTTAATTAGTTTTATTGGCTGTGTTCATTGCTGGTAGATTTAATGCCAAATAATATGACATTAAGCATTAGATTTATGAGAGCAATTTATATGTGAACTTTAAGAGGAGATCAAGTAAGCCATGAACAAAGTACTTTGTATTTTACTACTTGCAATTACTTGAGAAATTGGCCAAGAAAAAGGATAATTGCTCATTGGCATAGCTTGCTGAGCTGACAAAATGTTAAATGTGAGTTATTAGATAATTTTTGTATTATCTAAACAAAAATTTAGGCTACAAACAAAAGGTAAAGGTAAAGGCCCTCCCGTTGATCGTCGATTTGCTCGAGCAGGCCCAGTAACGTCTCCATTGGAGACTTTGTTGTTACTGTGTCTGGCATATCGAATACTCTCGGTAGCTTGCCGGGCTCTCCGAGAGGGGCGGAGGAATCGAACTCGGGTCGGCCATGTTGGCCGCTTGTAAGGTGAACGCCCTACCCGCTGTGCTATTGCTCCAGCCCTAACCCTACAAATAAGGTGCATATTTTTATTTTTTTAAATTTTTTAAAATTTTTTAATAGTGAGACATCATGAGGTACAGTTGCATATTTTTAAATATAGAATACTAATTCACACAGTACAGTTTGGCGAGTAATGTTTAGGTACACAAGATCATGGTGGCAGTATTTAACAGCTCACTTCTCTTAATAATCAAAATAATAAAACTCCTGATTGTATGTTGTTCTTCATTTGCATACACAGATAGAAATACTGTTTATCATCAAAACCAACATTTTTGAAAAGCCAGATCATTGATTTCCCAAAGGGAAAGTTTTATTAAAATATTTCTTTTAAAACACTTATGTCTTGAATTTATTTTGACATAAGTGTCCTAAACAGTTTCAGTCAAAATTTAAGCTGTTAAACTGCTAATCTCAGACACTGTATATCATTCACATCATGCACTATATACAATTTACATCATACACTTTACATAATTTCCATTTCTCAACCATTGTATAAAAGAAGCATTCTAGGATTCTGCATTATTAATTAATTCTGCATAATTCCATAAAATTTGTAAACAACTTACCTATTCAGACTGCCTGTGAAATTTTACTAGTATTAATACTTCTACTAATTCACATATAAAAGTCAATTTTAGTAGTAAAAAATTTTTATGAACAGATTAAACATTTTTACATCATTAATTATTATTTTTTTCAATCTTTTTTCCTGGGGCATTAAAGTATGAGGCTTTCTCACAAAACTTTTACTACGAAGACAAACACACACACAAATGCTAAGTTGCAGGTTGATAAGTAAAATATAACTATAAAGAAATGATCGGTAAGGTATGGTTGCATGTGTTTGACAGAAAAAATGGATAGATTGTTATTAGTAAGAATTATGACTTGAAGATTCATAATTCAGGAAGAAATTGGTTTGAGCCTAGATAAAAATGAGTGGTTTGGTTGGTGGAGAATACCGGGATCTTGTCTTAGGACACGATAAAAATGTTGCTATGAATAATTGCTAAAAGTGGTTTTAAGAAGCTGTTGTGGTTCGTGTGTTCATTGACTATCTGGATAGAATTGAGAGCTCACAAAACCAAATGTGATTAATATTTCACAGATAATTATGGGTCATAAAATTCCAAGCTAAAGAACAGTAATAAGACTGGTAAGTAGATGAGGAATCAGAGCCCCACCTAAGGTTACTTTATTTATTTTTTTAAGTTTTATTTTTTTAGAGATACTTTTTTATTTGGCGTCATATGGAAAAATAATTTCCACTTTTCAGGATCTGTAATCTATTGTAGCTGATTAAATTTACTGTTGCAGCAAGACAGAATCATAGACTATATATAAATGAGTAGGTTTGGCTAGTGGTATTCTTTTTCTTAAATTTTTATTAGTGAAACACCATGAGGTACAGTTGTAGACTTACAACTTTTTGTGCTTGGATTTCAGTTATACAATGATTGTGTCCCCAACCCTCCACCAGTGCTCATCCTCCACCACCACGGGTCCCAGCATCCCTCCCACCACCCCACCCACAGCACCCAAAAGGAGAGAGAGAACAAAAGGGAATGTCCTGCCACAGGGGTGGGCTAAGGTTACTTTAATGGATGTAAGGATTTGAAAAAAATATCATAAAAGCTCAAAATGAATGATCTAAATTCAGTGCCATCACAAGGCAGAAATTAGAGAAAAATATAAGTGTGGTAATTGAGATACATGTAATTGCAATAACTTTTACTCCATTTATAAGGAACAAAACTGAACAAAAGTAGTGGCAATGATATATACTGCCTTTTATAAGACTGCTTTTATCATACATATAAGGTAAAGGTAAAGGTAAAGGTAAAGGCCCTCCCGTTGATCGTCGATTTGCTCGAGCGGGCCCAGTAACGTCTCCATTGGAGACTTTGATGTTACTGTGTCTGGCATATTGAATACTCTCGGTAGCTTGCCGGGCTCTCCGAGAGGGGCGGAGGAATCGAACTCGGGTCGGCCATGTTGGTTGCTTGTAAGGCGAACACCCTACCACTGTGCTATCGCTCCAGCCCATATAGTTATTGAAATAATTCTTATGTTATATAATTTTATAGTTATTGAAATACATATAGTTATTGAAATAATTTTATAGTTATTGAAATACATATAGTTATTGAAATAATTCTTATGTTATTATATAATTTTCTTATGTTATTATATAATTTAAGTGATAACTTACTGTAATATTTTTCTATGATAAAAATTAACAATATTCACATTGCTAATGATGATAATATTAATATAACTAGAATTTATTGAGTATTGAG